TGATTGCTTGTGTTGATTATTCGATTATGAGTAGCTAAATCTCTATGCTAGGGATAGGGGATTGATGTTTTGAATTCAATTGCAATTATCATATGCGTGATTGTTCAATTTGTACGAGTTAATCTTTTACTAGGGTTTTTTCAATTGTCGAGCCCAAATATTGATAATTGTTGAAGGGTGACACTTCAACTTACAATTGTTTCGATTGAATTAGATTTATTCGTGCTTGAAATTGGGAATCTGTTTGATTAGACGGTTAACCACCCTCTAGTCTACTTTAATCGACTCTTAGAACCGAAAGGGGAAGAGTCGGTCGAAATAGGCTCGTATAAACTAGGCTTATTCGTGACTGTATTGCCTAGAAGCTAAATGAATTGTTAATTTGCAGTTCTAGTTTGTTCTCTTGTTACGAAAAGTTATTGAGAATGAGTGCTTGGACGTGCCGATTAGTCAAATCACTTAGCTGAATAATCACTTGCCCATTAATTGCAATTTGAACCAAAACGGATCTCCCCGATTCCCTAGCTACTCAAATCCTAATTGTTCTTCGTTACTTGCTTTCTTTATTGCGTAATTTGAATTGTCGCAGTAGTTGATAATTAAACCAAAACCAATCTTTGATTTAGATTGTCTAGGAACTTTATTTCTTTTATTTGTTTTTGAATAAACGTATAGAATATTCCGGCTAACCTTCCTCGTGAGACACGACCCGGTGTTCGAATCTTTAGATTCTACTCCGGAAAAATATTTACAACAAACAACAATGTTCAACAGAATCCTCATCCCAACTTTGTCCCTCATCAGCAGCATCAAAGGGGACAAATGTTAAGGTTGCCAGCGCCAGAAGCCGGACCGAGCCCACCGAACATGGACGACAAGCTGGACAAGATTCTCAATTTCTTCACCAATCAGGATGCTTCCATTAAGCGTCTCGAGACACAAGTAGGCCACCTAGCCACACGGGTTGGTACTATTGAGACTGAATTGAACAATGGAATGTCGAGTCAGCCCGAGCATGCAAATGCGGTGATTGTGGTTATGCCCGAAGAGGTGAAAGAAGAAAAAAAGGGCCCGAATGAGGAAAGAAGGACAGAAGAAGCTCCAGTGAAACCACCACCCGAGCCTACTTTACACAAATCCCCAAACCCTTACAGACCAAGAATCCCCTTCCCCAGCCGACTCTTGGAGGAGAAGGACCGGAGAATGGTTCGAGACCTCCATGCGATGTTAGCTAAGGCCAATGTCGACTTATCTCCTCCCGAGGTGTTGAAGAAAATACCGGCCCATGCACGATTCTTCAAGGAAGTGGCCACGAACAAGAAGCGGTTCGACAAGGATTGTGAGGTGATAATGTGTGAGGCGGCGAGTGTCTTTTAGCACGACTTGCCGAAGAAAGAAAGAGACCCCGGTGGCTTTGTGATCAACATAGCTTTCGGGAGTGGACAAGATGTTTTGAGGATGCTTGATCTCGGAGCAGGCATTAATCTTATGCCATTTGCAGTTTATCATCGGCTCGGGCTTGGAGATTTGAAGCCCACCAGGATGCGCTTACAGCTTGCAGACCGTTTGTTCCGTCATCTAGAAGGGATTGTGGAGGATGTGCTCGTCCGTGTGGGGAAGCTGATAGTCCCCGTCGACTTTATGGTGCTTGATGTCGGGAACGCACAAGGAAACAGTAAGGAGCACGCCATCCTCCTCGGATGACCCTTTATGGCGACCACCGGCACAGTCATTGATGTGAAAAAGGGAACCGCGTGCATGACCGTATTCGGAGAATCAATTACAATTTCCGTTCGAGAGACCCAGCCTGGTCCGCAGGCAAATTCTGTGGAAGAATGCATGTCCCTTAGGGTGATTGAGCAGCTGACTGAGGAAGCGTGTATGCGAGAGTACACGAAGAGGTCATTGCAGGACTGTGCCCACGTCGAGATGGGACGCCATACCGACAGCCACACTACCCCTCCCAAGCTGAGTTCGAAGGAGCTGCCCCGATCCGAAGGCGCGAGAGATTTGAGTTGACAGAGGCCCGCCGCTGTTCAGGGCCCGATTACCTCCACCCTCCACCTGCACCACCCGATTCACAGTGACTGTTCTAGTCACTGTGCCCTGTACGTTTGTACTTTTCCCTTCTCTTTATTTTATTTCTTTTTGGTATTTGGTTTAGTTTTAATGTTTTTTCGTGTTGGTTGATTATGTGAGGTAAACTTTCCTAACACTGATGATCGATAATGGGGACATTGTTTGATTTTAAGTGTGGGGGAGTTTTTACGTGCTTACGTTACTATGTGGTTGACCAGGTCTAGTTTTTATTTTTAGAATTGATTTTTCTTTTCTCTTGCTTTGTGGACCGGTCTAGTTTGTAGAATTATTTGTTGGTGTCTTCCTGAGCTTGAACTTTGGTGTATTGTAAGACTAGTTGATGATTGATTGATTGGGTTAAGAAGTTGTGATGATGAGAATGAGTGGCATATCTTGATGAATTGGCTTGGTTGTGTTGTTGACAGTTATTTTACCTTGTGAGGTTTTAGTCACGTTCATTTCTTTTCTCGTGAGCTATTGGTCAAAATCGTTGTCAATTAGAATTTGCCTTGAGTCTACTTAGAAATGAAATAATTGGATTTGTGAACGTGAATATGATTGAGGCATTCTTTGTATTTCCTTTCCCTTTTCTTTTTTTGAAAATAATTTCGCTAGTCACCCCCTTTGAGCCTTATTGATTTTCTTTCTTTTATAACCTCGTGACGATGATATTGTGGAGTTGCGGGTGTAGAATTGGAGGTGATTCGTGTTTGTATATATATTTAGATAAAAAAAAAAAAGAAACCGAATGGATTACGTAAAATGTCCAAAGGTTCTCACATAAAAAAAATGGTGAATAATTTGGAAAGTATGTTGGTTTTGGAGTAGTGGGGGGAATTGGTTGGTGTCAGCAACCGGAGGAGTTCATGATTATGGTTATCTGATTGAGTTGATTTGATTTTGATTTAGCCAGTTAGCCTATATTTATCCTACCCGATCCAAAGAGCCTACGTTACATCCCTTAAAGTCCTCTTGATTCATTGTTTTACGAATTTGATTGTTTTAGAGTAGGAGTTAAACAATAGGAAAACTTATGATTGATTCGACTGACGACTAATTTGAGTGTACTCAGCTGATATTTGAGAAAGAAATTGAGTGAAGTACATATGATATACTTTTGTACTCGAGAGTTTATGTCCTTCAAAATAGCCAAGTTAATAGTTGAGGTGTGCTCTTGTGATCATTTGAATTCTTCTTGACTTGATTGATTGGTTTGAGATTAGTCTTGCTTGAACCGTTGTCTTTGCTCGTTTGTTTATCTTTCTTTTCTTTTATTTTCTTATTGTTCGGGACGAACAAACGTTTTAGTGTGGGGGAGTTGTTTGTCCCAATTTTGTTGCTATTTTTGTTTGTATTTTGCGTGTGTTTTTCCCCCGTTTTAGGTCGTTTCTTAAATGTTACCGGTCCGTCTAGTCATTTCTCGTGTTTTACCTCTATTTTGGTATGTTTACAGCGTCGCCGAACATGGTGGAGATTCAGATCGCCGGCCTTAATCTCGACTTCACTGACATCATCCTCCACCGGCAAGCTCCAACACACTGGCAACTGTCGCCGTCTTCTTTGTCATCCTTACTACACCTCGTCGATTGAGATGCAACAACGTCGGAAAAAACGACCTTCAAGCTCGAAGGTTGAGCTTCAATGGAGGAATNAATTACTATTTGTGAACGAAATAATCTCTGTCACATTAAATATATTTTATATATTGAGATTAAATATAGTATGTATTAACATTTCATTCAGTTTTTTATTTTGAATTGCACAAAAAAAAATATGCACTGTAGAATGCATAATAATATTAAGCATGATGCATATCAGTGACCGTCAGACTGCACAACAATGTTAGATCAGATGCACATTAAAGAGTCCGATGACACTAGATGACTAAAAAAAATCCTTATTTATTTTCATCAACTTATAATATAAAATATTAAATAAAAATAAATTTATTAAATATATTACATTAATTAAATAAATTATTTGATATGTACAAAATAATGCTAATCAAGAACACATTTTTAAAATTTCTAAAAATTAAATGCACATAGAAAAAATCTAATCAATATACTACATAATAATGTTAGTTGGAATGCACGTTATTGTATATGAAGGTGCACATTATTGATTTCGTTGTTTTATTATTATATCTTTTCAAGCAATAATACTATAAAATATTAAATATACATATTAAAATACTATATATATTTTTCATAATATAAATATTTCTATTATTTAGGAAAATTCGATTAATTGATCGTATAAATCGATTATTCCAGTTCACTTGTAGTTTGAATTGTAGCAAGTCATTAAAATATGTATGTGATGCAAGTGCACAATAGTGTTATGTAAATTGCACATTAATGACTATCATACTGCACAATAGAGACATAAATCGATCTAACTACAATCTCCGGTTGAAGTTTTATATTTCACGTTTGTTATCTATTTTTTTACTTTTTAAATATCAGTTATTTCTATTCGATGTCACTTTAAAAGAACGAAAAAATCGAACCAATCGAGTTGTATAAATTATTATTATTATTATTATTATTATTATTTTTTTTTGGCCAGAATGATAGGGGAGCTATATATAACAACCAAAATGAGTTCGAGTACAAGAGAGATATTAATTGAAATAAAACTGAGAGATGCTACACAAAGCACCTAGAACCTCAACAACTGATAACTAGAAAACAGAAAACAGAAAAAGAAGCAATGTTTTTATTATTTTTATATAGTATTAATTTTAATTATTATATTTTATTATCTCATTTCCATTTAAATCTCAATTTTTTTTTTTCATTTCATCCTTTCTCTCTATATATCGCATCCTTGTTTCTTCATGTCCAAAAATATTGAAAACTCATTTTTAATCAATACATAGTAAACCGTATTTATAATATTTTACATCATAATTTTATATTTTTAATTTATAAATATTAATTAACATCTCTTAAGATTTTTACAAGTTTTTATGAAACATATGGAAATGTCTACACCAACTATGATAACATCAGTTTGATTGTCCAAACTCTAAACCCCAAACAAAGCGATATTCTTGGCGGAGAGCAATCGGCAGTTTCTGCGAAGTGAAGAAGAGAGATGTTGTTTCAGGTAGGGGGTCAAGGTACGCGGCCGACATTCTTCGAGATGGCAGCCGCTCAGCAGCTGCCGTCGAGCCTACGCGCCGCCCTTGCTTACTCCCTCGGTGTATGCATAGCTTCTGTTGCTAACTTTTATTTCTGTCAATTTATCATCCACTCTTCTTTTCCAATGGTGAATTGGTTTGTTCCTGAGAATAAACATTATTATTATTTTTTTTGCTCGGACGTAGGAGAACTATCTTATAGTAGAAAATTATCACACGAAGTAGGAACCTCTATCTAATCCATAACTGATCGGAGTAGGTATTTCATATTTACGATTATTGAAATGTTTTGGTTGAATTTTAAGCTACGTCATACTTTTTCTGTGTTACTTACATCAATTATATTTTTACTCTGGTACTAAATTTTAAACCTGTCAAGTGTGACATTTTCTGGAATAAAAATTAATGAACAATCATGAGCCTTTACCAGTTAAAGCAGAACAGTACAAAATCAGTCTTGAATTTTGAAGATAAGCATTCAATCATTTTCTGGGCATGTTCATTTTTTATTTGTTTATTTTTCTTGGAGATGATATCTTAAATATTTGTATACATGAGTAGTTCCTTATATGATGTAATAGTTTAGAAAATCGAAATCATATGCGTCCAGTAAATTACATATTTGGGCTAGTAAGCTTGGAAATTACTGAAATTTTTGTCAACTTACTGGGAGATCTAAGAGTATAGTTTTTCTTAACCACAAGCTCAATTGTTGTGGTTCGTATAATTTACATTTATACATCTGCATTAAATGACAAAATGCATTCTGTCAATCCAGAAGTTTAGCAGTATAATGGACATACAAATTCTTCAAAAACCATATACATATCCCAAAGCATATGTACATTATGCTGGTAAAGAATTCATAAGGAAAATTAATAGTAAATTGTTCTAGTTTAAGTACCAGAAATATATTGGGCCTCAATCAAAGTTTCCCTCTTAAAATATAATAAGCACAAGCTAGTTGTTGTATTCTTTATATTTATGAAGTTTCTTGTCACTTGAACATAACTTCCTTACATTATTGTTTCACATGTCCTTAGGCTTTAGTTAATTTTGGATCTCATTTTTCTTTCCTTAATCTCTTTTTAAAATTATAGTCTCTTTTTCTTTCCCTAGTTTATGGATTTTGTTTTAATCTTTCCTTTCGTTTAATGAATTTGTTTATAGGAAAATGGTTGGATGTGATGTCGAAAAATGTGCACAATCTAAATTCTTGATAGCAATGGCTAGCTTATTTATCATGGTGTATTCGCATTAATAATTGGATATTTAAACTGCACTCAGTACCTTTTACAGATTAGAAATTTGTTTGTCGTTTAAAGTTTAGTTTCAGCCTCTTGTCTGCAGGTATTTGCTTTGAGAAGACCCTTCATTCATAGAGTCTTGGATTATGAAGATGAATTTTTTGCTTTGCTTATGCTTGTCCTTGAAACTCACAGTTTGCGTACAACAGGTTGGGTGTCATGTCTCATGTATGCTTTTAAATAATTGAAGTTCTACTTCCTTTCAGATCTATATGCAGTACTTGAAATGAAACCGTTTTTCTTTCCTTTTTACTCGAGACATTATTTTTTCAAATAAATAATCTCTTTGTCTTCTGCTTCTGATAGGGTATCACATTCTCTCTTTTGGATCCTCTCTATCTATTGAATTAAATGTTGCATGGTACTGATGACACGATTTGCTAATCTTTCTCTTGTATTTTCTCAGATGCTTCTTTTGCGGAATCTTTATATGGCTTGCGGCGTAGAGGAGTTAATATGAAATTTAGAAAGACCAATTTGCTTGCAGATTCTGGTGACAAACATTACACCAGTTTACGTAAGCGTCAGAAAGTTCTCTCTGTTGCATTTTTGGTGAGCAATTTCTTCATCACTGGTTCAACTACCAAAATCGGAGTAGTGAATGAATATCTATGTTCAGAAATATTCGCTGCTGCATTGTTGTGTCAATTCTCTTCGTCCATATGTTTTCAATAGCATGTATCTGCTGTCATGAAATTATGCCTTCTTTGAGTTATGTGTGCCTTGGATAAAATTCAGGTAAGGGACAATTAGATTGAGTGTTTGCATTTTAGGAAATTAGGGAAGTTTGATTAGAAGCTGGATTATAATTCTTTGTGTAGTCATATGGTTAATGTTCAAAATATTCAGATGTTTCATTCAGAAGCCTACTTTATGGGCTATCAACATGAAAATCTCTCTTTAAATATACTACCATTGGTAAAAGCTGCCATCATACTTGTTATGGTTCACTGGTGTATTGGAAATGCACTAAGATGGAAACTGCAAGTGCAAGTGGCAGATTTTTTACCAACGCACAAACTAGAGAACAACATCGGCTTTGCTTGCTCAAACTCAATGCTTTGGATCCTCTACCTCCACCTTGAGTTTGAAGGGGGGGTGTTAAGTATATCAAGGCCCAGACTTATAAGGCCCATGAACAACTCTATATATATGATCATGATCATTTCATATCAAAGGAACTTATCAACTCATGAAGTTTGTAACAATATTCTCTTAAGGAGTTGCAACTTTTCATCAAAATTTTAAGGTTAGTTGATAATGATATCCTTGAGGATTGATATAAATAAGAAGGAACCCAATGAAATATAGCTCGATTTTCCCAATTGTAATGTGTTGTGCACTTGTGCTCTCATGTTTGAGGCGAAGGGTGTTTCGGCCAAAGTATTTTGGGTGTTACTTTTACTAGCCAGTGCTTTAGTCAGGTGAGGCACAAAGTGGTATTAGTATTATGCATATGATCTGGCTAGTTGTGTATTGGAGCATTGTTTATCCAATAGGCGGTATCCAATACTTGATAATTGTTGGTATCTAGACTAGTTCGTGGAGGACTTTGTGAATAATTAATATGGTCAGAGGAGACTCATCTAGTAAGTTTACTCTTTGTCTAAAAGCATATTAATTGCAAATGGTATTAGATCCAACACTAGTAGTGCAATAGTGCTATACAAGTGAAGTCCACTCCTTGAACCCAAGATAAAGGCATAAAGCGTGCCATGTATGCTGTAATCACATCAATAATCTAAAGTGTGGTAGTCTATTTTCTTTCATACGCCAATGATGAAATCACAATATGAGGGAGGCATGATATTGTTTGCCCTATAATACACTGATTGATAAATAAAATGACGATAATCTTATAAAGTTTTCCTAGATAATCATGTATTGACAATTGAACAATTTTGTTGGCAAGTTGTTCACTATTAGATCTTAGATTGCTCTCAATTGGTTTGCGGTGATTTTTATGATTGATGTGCATACTTCCTTATCGAAGTTCTGAAAAGTTGATTGTAGTATGTCCCTACTAAGTTTATGTTATTATGGCCCAAAATGTAGACAGATTTTTTGGTGAAGACGCTTCATTCAGTCGGTTAGATGGGCTACTATATTCCAAATCTATATGATATTGGATTATTGTCTCAGTTGAAGGAATATCCACTGTAGGGAGGAATTCGATACTGTTGCGCGCAATACATTATTGGCAGTTGAACTTACTGATTTTTAAGTGGTCACCCTTTTTATTGACACAGGCGACTTGTGTTGTGGTGTTAAAGAGATGGAACAACTTGACTCACATATTGTCTATCAAATTGTAGCCGATTTTTTCAATTTTCGATAGGTCAAGATCCAATCTTGTCCTAAATTATTTAGCAGTTGGGAATTCTGAGTTCGGTCCAATTATAAATCTCAAGTCTATAACATTAAGTAGTTAAATAATTTGTGTTGGACATGAGACCCTTACTATAGGCATCGGCCAGAAACCTTGGTTGAATGGAGCAGAAAAACATGAGTAAATATTTAGTTGAATAATAAACTCGCGCATAAAATTGATTTAATATCTTTGAACCCATATTACCCAGAGTTGATGCACAAATGTAATTAATTCTCAAAAGATATATGTGATCATTAATATGACCTGCTTAGTTTCTTTGGAGGGTGACCTTCAAACCATATGTTTCGCATGCACTATGCTCTTTCACCTTTTCAAGGCTGTTAAATCTTGTTGTGAGGTTTGCCTCGGCGCATTTGTGGGACAACACTACTTAGTTATCTGGAACTGATAAATGGCTTTGTAATAATATCTTCTGTCATTCAAAAGATCTGTTTGCTGCTCGAGCTTTTGCTTCGGGAATCTAACTCACTTGAACTTAAAAAATGGTTCATCTGCTATTTTGAAGGTTGTGTTACCATATCTGAAGTCAAGGCTTAAATCTATCTACGATAAAGAAAGGGAAGCTTCTCTTCAGGCAAGTCTTTGGGGGGATAGTGATGAACAGTTTGACAACTACATTGGTCGAGGCAATAATCCTTTTGGCTCAAGGAGCAGCTCAGAGATCGAAGCATCTACTAGAGACCGTTGGATCGAGATGTTGCGGAAGACTGTTGGTGTTTGTTACCCTTGGCTGCATGCTGGAACTGAAGGTCCATGTAGCATGAGTTTTGTTAATTATTTTTTATTGATCTGAGCAAAGTTGTTAGATTTTCGACGTTTAGAGTTAAAATTGGGCTCAGTTGGATTTTCAGTATTTTTTTACAACTATTCCGTTGGTGTGTGAGCCTCCTATAGTAATTTGTGGTGTGTAATTTACGAAAAGGGAGGTCTTTTTCTTACGAATCCAAATTAGACCTTCTAGACTTACTTTAAATACTTATGGCTCATGGCTGCACAAAAACTCGGATAATTTCTTTCGTGAGGAAAAGATGGACAAGGTTTGCAAAATAGGTTGATTTTGAGTTCAACAGCGGCAAAAATATTCATGGGAATTGGTTCATTTGGTTTGTGTTCTATAGAGCGGACTTGAATTTGTGATAAAAACCGTGAAGAACTTTGTTATGTCCTCTGTAGTATGCGAGACTTGAGTTCAATGAGGTCACTTGGTTTGTATTCTATAGAAAGGATGGTGACTTTTAGCAGAACCGCTAGTCTTCTAGGGAACTCAAGTCCTTTAGATAAGAACACTATTTGTTGCATGTAGTGAATCCTCCTATGGTAAAATGTTGGCTGTCGTTAATCCTCTTTTGTGTAAAATGTAGAGTTGTGTTATCAAATGTCGGCCATGTCGGCACAATGGCGGTATGGCTTGGCGGATTTTGACAATCCGCCATGCTAAATTTGTGAAGGATGGTAGTTATGGTGTATTTTTGCCAAACTGCAATTTACCGTCATCCGCCTGATGTATTGTTTCTCAAGCAAAGTGTCAGCTTCTAGTGCTTGCAATAAGTGTCGATTTTTGGTGTTTGTAATCTTATATGTGAATTTTTGGTTGTTTAGAGTAGTCTTGTAGATCTGGACATTTATCATACCTTAATAGGACTCTTAAACTTATAAAACATTTGGTTTGGTTAACCTAACTATTATATATATTTTGAACCTTTTATTTGTTAACAATTATTCATATATGTTAGATCAGATTAATCAACGATATCGATATCCTTATTGCATACATAAAATAGTTTTGGTAAAATAAAAATCGAATAATCTATCTACCAGAATTGGAAAATAATAAATTATTATCATGTATATTTTGGTTTTTTATTTTTTATATAAGATAGCCTATGATATGGTTTAGAAAAATTATTATAATATAGGACGAGCAAGTCTTACGGGTGACGGGTGTCATTTTGGATAAAGATAATGATGCATTTTTTAAAAGTATCTAAACTTGTAAAGTAAAACTTCTATTTTTATTTTTTCAAAATCTTGTAAGTATAAATTTCTCAATTATTGCCCGGGGGTAATGCACGGGTGCTGTACTACTACTAGTTGAAATTGAGGGAAACAAACATAATGCTTAGGCTGGCATTTAAGTTACGCCCTTATATGCCCATTATCTTGAAGAGCTTATGAATTTGTTCTTCTGTTGAACTTTTCTTTTGTAAGATTTTTTACAAAATTGTTAAGAGAGCTCGCCAAGTCATTAAACACAACCAAGACTACACATATCATGGCGCGTGCTGTCTGCAATTTCCCACTTGAGAATTTGTTTCTATCATCCTTCTGATAAAGAGAATGTTCTTGTGTGCAGGATTATCATTTGCTTACCAGCTGTTATATTTGTTGGATGCAACTGGGTTCTACTCCCTAGGATTACATGCACTTGGCATTCATGTTTGTCGAGCAACTGGGCAGGAGTTGGTACTTCTTTTAAAATGATATGGAATAGAGAGTACTCTCTTGGAATTTGATGCATATTGCTCTTTCTGTGTATAGTGAAGTCTCATATGCCTGCCTTCGTTTCCTTACATTTTAAATATTTATGAAGTTGACCTTGATTCGAAGAACTTCCATTTTGCCTTTCTCTGCCTCTTGCTTCTCATGTTAACCTAATGTCTGGGTATTTGAGGACTTACTTTATCATTCCCTTGATCTCTTGCTTAAAGTATTCATACATACAGGGTTTATATATAGAAGGTTCTGTTCTAGTCCTCTGTTTCTGCAATTGGTTCACAATATATTTCGTGACATCAGTGGGCATGTGTTTTTGTGCATCTTATCCAATAATGAGTACTAAATGTGCATGATAGTTGTGACTTGATTGCTCTATATTTACTATATGATAACAGTGAGCCAATATTGTATGGATATTGCTACATATTTCTGTTTGTGGCAAATTGCACTTGCTGGTCATCTCATTTTAATTGCTGATTCTGTTCGACGTATAAAAATATTGTTGTTAGTATTTCTGTTCATGTCCTTGTATCATTTCAAGACTCTTTTCTTTTCAATGTCAAGACAGATGGATACGTCTTCTAGAATTTCAAAAATAAGAAGTCGCGAACGTGAGAGGCTTCGTGGGTCTCCTTGGTTAAAGGTGTGTAGCTTATTGACTTTATATAGAGTGCTGGCTTTGTTCCAGGTTGTGATAAGGAACATCTTATCTTTCATCCTAGTCTTCTCCTTAAAATATTCAGGATTTTTCTGTAGCTAGTTTCTGAATTTTTCAAGTTTCATGTTATTTGCTTTTTAGGCAATACAAGGTGGTTTGCTAAGCTGTGCATATGCCGTTCTTGACTATGCTCAGACTGGTTTGATTGCAGCTGTGTTTTTCTTCAAAGTTAGTATCTCTCTCTCTCTCTCTCTCTCTCTCTCTCTCTCTCTCGTCTAACCTTTTACATCAAGTCCCACATATATATGACATTAGGCTGCTGTAATTAGATGTTGAGTCAGAGGGCCGGTCTATTTAAATTTAAAGAAAGTCTGGTGGAAAGTAATAAACCAAAATATTGTGAACCTAAGAGGGATTAACTGACAAAAGAAATTGCAGAATATATAAAATATGGATCTCTTAAGGCCTTGTGTGTGTCCATTAGAAGAAAATCACTGAAATCTCCATCTATTGAAACCAAAGCTTGCCAGAATTCTGGATCACCAGTATCTGATGGAGCTTGTAAGGAATATAGTTAGTAGCCCAGTAACGAGGGGAATAATTGAATGATAGGCAGTTCTGGGAGTATAGTTGATTAGCAAGATCTTAGGGGAAGTATTTGACTCGGAAGTTCTTAGCATATTAATTGGCTAGTCGCTAGTGCTTTGCCCCGTGCATCGTACTGGTGTAATATAATGCTAAATAGGTATAATTATTGTGATGTATTAGTTGTAAGTTTATGAAATTTTACTGATGTGTATTACTTTTAAATATGATATGTGGAAATAACCTATTAATTATTTTATTGCAAAAATATTTAATTTAATGGGACTACAAATTGTTACAATAGCCACAATGCCACATATACAACCAAACTTAAGAACGCATTATCTATTCATATAAAAAATACCAAGTTGGATTAGCTGAAAACATTTTCTATCATAATAAGTGTAGTTTTAAATGGTGAATGGCAATTTGTTCATGGTCTGGCCATGTGGTGAGAGGCGCTACCTCGGCTATACGACACTAAAATGTAGAAAAATATAATATAGATGATGCAATCACATATTTAATTCAAAATGGCAAAAATAATATCAAATACTCTAAAAAAGACAAGCACACTAACAAGTACATAACACGTCTTTAGCTCACACGCCACCAAGGAAAGCAGAAAGAAACAAGAAGTTCGTAAAAACACATAGTCAAATACTATAAAAGTAGCAACAAGCAAATGAAATCATTCATCACTGGTTTTCCTCGTCTGCTTTCTCAAAATTTGTTTTTCAATTGAATCCTTGTTCTTCTTTCCTTCCTCAATGAACTCCACGCCATCTTCTACAAATTATCATATATATTCTCCCTTTTTTGTCTTGACATTATTTGTCCACAGAAATTCTTTATGAAGTCCTTGTGACTTATTATTTCACATTGTCATGTAATAAAATTCAGTTTCACTTTTCCATTTTCGATTTTTTGCTCTTTGCTCTCAGAATTGATAGTAGTTCCAACATATTGTGGACTAAGTTAAAATAACTACAATTGTTAATCCACATGCCGAACTAGACTTAAATAGTTATCTATGACCAATTTCTAATAGTTGACGACCTGGGAGCTTACAAGTTAGATAGAGAACTGTTGAAGTTTATAGCTTTGTGGAAAATCCCTCGTGCATTGACTGCAAATATCTAACTCCATATGTTTCATGTCCTTTATGGCTGATATGATATCTTATCAAACAGATGATGGAATGGTGGTACCAATCTGCGGAAGAAAGAATGTCTGCTCCGACTGTATATCCCCCTCCACCACCCCCTCCCGCTCCAAAGGTCAGTGGATCTCTGAGAAAGTGTTGTTTGTTCTTTTTTTCTTCATCTGTCAGGAAGCATCCTACAAAATTGATTTTACAGTCGTTTTATTTCACTGTAGCAGTTTAGAGATTTTCTGGTCTTAGCAAGATTGTTTTGCTCAATTGACATGATCTATGTATAGACGGCTGGTTGCTAATTTTTTTTCTAAAATTTTGGCTTGGTGGTTCGACAGGTAATCTATAGGTAGAAGTGGATAACTAACAATCCATGTTTAGCTATGTTTCATTGTCGCGAGACCGTATTATTTGTTGAATTAGTCAGAAAAGCCCAAAGAAAGCCATGAAGTCAAGGCCTAATTTGGAACTTCTAGGCTGAGATGTTAAGAAATAGACATAAATTTAATGGCAAACATTTTTTTTTTTTTTGCAAATTAAAGTTCAGTGCACGAGTCATAGCTGAAGGAGTGTTACATAAAGTTATAATGTAGTGTAGTAGCTGAAAAGTAATTTAGTTTATGGAGTATTATTAACTTTTTAAAATGCAAATAATGTGAGCCTATTCAAGTCATTATAAATGTAGCGTGCATTAATGTGCAAATGCATTGTAGGTTATTATAATATTGTCAGCCCATTCAGGTTGTTATTGTATATATGACATAGATTAGGGTACCAATTAGTGGATGATTGTAATTTCGTAGATTAGCCTTGTTGATTTATTTTCCTTCTTTTGTTTGCACCTAGGCTTGTATATATATAAGTGTAATTTGTACTCTCATCTTATGGAATATAGAAACAGTTATCTCTCTACATGGTACCAGAGTTCCAGAAAAAAACTTCTAGCTTTCAGCTATTCCTTGTTGGTCACCAAGGCTGTTTTATGAGTGTAATTTGTGCAAATGCATTTTGGTCACCAAGGCTGTTATATTATAACTGATATATATATATATATATATATATATATATATATATATGAACTTTAATGCAATATGACTTCAGTTCACTGGTAATTTATGATATCAACCCTGTTGCGGAAATTTAGCACTATTTGGACGTATGGGTAAGGTTGGGAACCTATTTCCTAGTGATCTCCTTTTCATGTCAGCGGAAGATGACTAACTTTTATTTGCTTCACGTGATTGAATAATGCTTCATGAGTTAACACATTCGATGCCACAGGTTGCAGAGGAGGGGATTCCACTGCCCCCGGATCGTACAATATGCCCGTTGTGTTTGCAGAAGCGTACAAATCCATCAGTACTGGCTGTTTCAGGATTTGTTTTCTGCTATACTTGTATATTCAAATATGCCAGTCAGGTGAGAGTTTCTTCTTCTATGTTTTTGCCTAAATTTGTTTATATTTATTCCTCTTGCTTAGGGAGTCTAAAATTGGTCATATGCTTGGTTTTCTCTTTTCACTTTTTTTATTGTTAGTCATATTGAATCTTGTCCAGTCTTCAATGATTTTTAGTTTCCTTTAGTGAGAAGTGAGAACTAACGAAAATTTTGACTCATTAATAAAAAAAATATAAATTTTTTTGGTTATTAAGTATGAAAAATATATGTCCTATATGTAGTATAGTTAAGTTTTTTTCAGTCCAATATGAGACATCAATAAAAAATATCTCCCTTGCAATTTCTTTAGCAATCCAATACCATTGAAATAACATTGTGTCGTTGACCACTGAACTTTTCTCTGTTGCATACTTTTGAAGAGGTATAAAACAATTCGTCTTGAACTTCTCCGTGAACATCTACTGGTGCACACTGTACAAATAGGATTTACAAATGGTCTTTGCAGTTCATCATTTGAATGCTCAAAAAAGCTTTGACCAAACACCAACTATCATAAGCTTTGACCAAACTCTAACAATTCCCTTTTTTGTGTTTTTTCTTTATATACATGCAAACTACATTATGATGTACTGTTGCCAAAATTTCGAATGATTTTGGCATTTAGCTTTTGATCTTAGCATTTAGCTTTTTTGTCCAGCTAAAATGCAATTTTGATCTGTTAAATTATATTAAAAAATGAAGGGAGCAATTTAGGTTCCACTGAAGTGACATACATCATTTTAAGTATTGTAATTTAATAATTTGGTGCAGTTTTTGCAACGAAATTTTAAATTACAGGACTTAAAATTGCTAATGAAAAATTCTTCCCAAATCATATAAATTGGGAATCTTGTTTCAATTTCAGTCCTCAAACTGGACTTAAAATGTTATATGTCACTCCAGTGGAACCTAAACTGCTACATTCAAAATTTAATAGGACCAAAATTGCATTTTAGCCCTTTTGTTCCATATACAACTCTTTGAAAGTTTGTGTTAAAGATACTTACTTGTTTTTCGCTTTTAGCGCTCATCGAGACATCGCGTAACCATTGTTTTGTAGTGTTGGTCAACACTATATATATTTTTGAGATTTTGATTCTTCACATAAGTCGCACATTATTACATTGTTGATTTGTAAGGCGCTGCAAGAAAAAAAATTATCCTTTTCCATTTTAATCATAATTTTACAAGTTTTTATGGTGGAAAGCATGTCTCTATGCCTATCCTTTTCCATTTTAATCATAATTTTACAAGTTTTTATGGTGGAAAGCATGTCTCTATGCCNCCAAAAAAAAAAAGCTAAACATTATAATTATCATTTTTGTTAGAAAAATTTATTCTGCAACACTTCTTATGAAGAGTATTTGGTTTAGTAATTCATTTTTACTTGTAGTTATAATGCTCCAATGAAACCCAATGTCGCCTGAATTTACTTAATATTGGCAATTCGTGCTGTGATAGTAAAAAGAAGTTTCGGAAAAAATTGTGTGTACTATGTTCAAATATTTTCTTTCATAATCATAATTTTCCAGTACAACTCACATACGTATATATTTATTTTGGTTTGTGTACTAATTATTATTCAGTTCTTTTTATGTGCATCTGTATATGTGTACAAAGTTTAAGTGTTATCTCGTGTGAGAACCTGAACATATGTACCTATTTTATAAAATTCACTTATATGAGATTAATAGAATCCATCACTTGAGTTATCAAAATCTTCTTTTTATTATTGTGTATATTTCAAAATTCTTTTGTAGGTAAATCCTAATTTTCAAAATTCTTTGGCTTATCAATCCTTTGTCATTAGGACATTTAATTATGATTACAAATTTGCCAAGGACTTTTTATACAGTATTTTTTTTTTAAAGAAACACTACTTTTATATAGTATACACTGCTTTTATATTAGAATAGATAGGAAGCAAGCAAGCAAAGTGTCCAATGACTTGAAAATATACTGGGACTTGAAATGTCTGAACAGTTTCTGATTGTGTGCCTCTTGTCAATGAGCTTTCCCATTAATATGCATTAATTTTGTTTCTATATCATCACTCGAATTGTACGTACTCTTTCAAGCCTTCCATCTTGTTTACAGTCCTGTATTTTTCGTGGATGTAGTACAAGCGCTGTCCGATCACATTGATGCCTTCAACTGTGGACCAAATTAGGAGGCTATTTCATGATGTTTAATGCATGGGCTTTTTGCACTTCGGATGCTTTGCTGCGACTGCTTCAATACTTACGGTTAATAAAGTTGAATTTTCACTGCAACTGTTGCAAATTGGAGCACTTTGTACCATTGGGTTTGTCCTAAGTAGTGCACACCTTTGAGATCTTGCTCAAGTAATCCTTAAGCTGCCTTGGTGTATGATCTCCTACAAAGACGTTATTTGTTTAGTTCATGCAGAACTCCACTAACGAGTTTCAGATCCCATTGTTTAGTTCGATATAACTTACAGATTTTCCGTACTCTCTCCGAGATATTAGTTCAGTTGAGCTTTTACTCTGTGATTGAAAACGATTAATTCTCCTTTATGGAGTGTTAAAGAGCTATTGTTGTGCAATAATTGTGGTGCGTGCAACACAGAAGGCAGCTGCCAGTTAGTGTTGATTGATTATCTAGGATTTCATTATTTTGTGTTGAAGGTAGACATGTCCAAAGGCCGGGCCGGTTCATCCCGGCTCGGCCCGAGCCGCTGGGTCGGCAGGTCTCAAATGTTGGGCCCGAAACCAGCCTGGCTATATCTACGGGCCAGTTCATTGAACCGCCGATTTTTTTAATAAAAAACAACTGTGACCTGTCTGACTTGGAACCAGCGGGTCAAAACAAAAAAGGGGTTAATTGCACGAAACCCCCCTGTATTATACTAAATCTGCGCGCTATCCCCCTTTATTTTAAAAATTGCATCAGACCCCCTTATATTGTACTTTGCCTAGCATACGCTCCCCAACTTACGTCTGGGTGCTAACACCGTTACATTTTTGTCAAACATCCCGTTATGACCTTGTCATTTGAGAAGTCGGTCCCATTTGAAACAGAAAATATTCTAACTTTGAAATCGTTCTCTCTCTCTCTCTCTCCCCGAAAAAATCCCAAATATCTTCACCACGATTGTCCAAAATTTTGCTGATTTTAAACTATTAATTTGTAAAGGTATCGATGACGCATAACAGATCTGTTATTTATCTTCAATGTTGAAGTCGATTGAGGAGTATTCTTCGATATTCCAAATCTAGGGTTCCCTTTGCAGCGAAATTCTTTCTTCTCGAACACATATATCGGTGGCGCATAAGGTACTCTTCGGATCCTCGTAGATTAAAGCTTATTACATTGAAAGCCGATAGTTGCATTCCTGAAATTAGATTTCTTATGCTATGTGTATTGGAAAATAGGTTTTTTGGTCAAGTGAAGTGTCGTGCTTGTGATTGTAAAATTGGGGAAAGTCGATTGCTTCATTTGGAAAATTCTAAAAAGTCGATATTTTCTGATTTGAAAATTAGGGTTTTTCGATTTGAAAATTAGGGTTTTTTGATTAGAAATTTAGGGTTTTCTAATTTGGAAAATAGGGAGTTTAGATAGCTTCATTTTCAAAGTAGATAGCTTCTGATTTGAAAATTAGGGTTTGTCGATTTGAAAATTAGGGGTTTTTGATTTGAAATTTAGAGTTTTCTAATTTGGAAATTAGGGAGTTTAGATAGCTTCATTTTCAAAGTAGAGAAAGTCGATAACTTCTGATTTGGAAGTTAGGGTTGTTAGTCAATTTCATGCTTTTGATTTTTAAATTAGGGCTTTCTGATTTGGGAATTGGGGTTATTTATTTTATATTGTCTGTAGGTCGACTTGTGGTCCTTGTGTGGAATTTTTTACTTTGAAATGTATTGATGTTGTTTGTTGGAACAATTTGTGGTCATGTGTGATGTGTCTTTGTTCTTTGTTTAATGTATCCTTTCTGTAGGTTGAATTTGTGGTCATTGTGAAATTGTTTAATCTAAAAGTTATTGATGCTATTTGTAGTGTCCTTTTGTGATATGGTATTGGTTGTTTGTCTAATTGTGGTCCATCTTGCATAGGAAGTGTTGATGCATATAGTATTCTATTTATGTTGTGCTCCCTGATTTCATATTTTAATCATATCATACTTGTTGATTTGCAGAAGATGGCTATTGTATTTGATGTTAGAGTTGGTGGGGAGATAAAATATCATCCATTTGCGCACTATTTTGGTGGTCTAAGAGTTGCAGTTGACTACTATGATGTGGACAGGTTGTCCTATATTGAGTTGATGGATGTGTACAGGCAGGCAGGTGGCAAATCATCCGTTGTGGACATTTATTCACACAAGCCTGGAAAAACTCTACAAACAGCAAAGAAGTTCATGAAGATTGCCACTGACAGTGATATTTTGAAGTTGGTGAAGAAGTATACAGGGGAATATGTCATCCCACTATACTTTGAAGATTGCAAGACCCTATACAACAATTAGACATTGATGGGAATATGATGGATGCACGAGAAGAGATCCCACTTCTTGAATATCCACAGACTGAAGAAGATATTCTAATTGACATGTATTGTGATCAACAAACATCACCACAACAGAGTGATAAAGAAGCACAAGAAGAGGATGATTTGCAATCAGTTGAAGAAGAACAAGATGCTGTTGGTGAGGTGGATCCTACAGAAGTGAGGATGATGCTGGTTCACATGATGGTACTGGTCAAAGAGATGAGCCATTTAATGAAGCTGAAGCACAGCATGGTGAAGATAGATCTCAGACAGTTGGCCAAGAGGATGAACAACAAACTGAGGGGACAGAACAACAAGGTGAGGGGGCAGACCAACAAGGTGAGGGGGAAGAACAACAAGCTGAGGGGCAGAATAACAAGATGAGGGGGCAGAACATCATTTTGGAGATTCAGAGGATTCTGAGGATTTAGAGTATGAACCTGAGGAAGGTAGTGGTGAGTCCTCTGAATTATCTGAATGGGAATTGGAAGATCTAGAAGGCCCTGATGATGATGACATATTCCAACAGAGGGGTCAAGATCATGCCAAGAGGTTACACAAGAAGGCAAGAGAATGGATGAAACAAAGAAGAAAGCAGAAAAAAAAAGCAAGAGAAGAAGCTGAAGGTTTCAAAAGGGCTAGAGAAGAAGATTGGTACAGTGAGGCTGAGGATGATGACAACTGCCTTCAAGAGCCTGATGAATGGAATGATAGTACTGATATGTCAAGGTTTGAGCTGAAAGTTGTTCAGAAATTCCCTTGCAGAGCAAAATTCAAGGATGTGATTAGAGATTGGTCTGTAAGAAAAGGCTATGATTTGAAGTTTCCCAAGAATGAAGCCAAGCTCATCACAGCACAATGCAAAAGTGGGTGTGACTGGTCCTTGATGGCCTCAATTATTGGAGGTTTGACAACTTTTCAGATCAAGACTTTGAATGGAAAACACACATGTTCCTACAGGACAGAAAACACACAGGCAGACTACAAATATCTTGGGAAGAGGATGGTAGATACTCTGAGGGACAATCCTAGTGAGAGTTTGGCAAGTTTGAAAAATAAAATTAAGAGGCATTGTGGGGTTGATGTCAGTCTGCACAAGGCATACAGGGCAAGGTGTATGCCCTTTCTCTATTGAAGGTTGACTATGGGGAACAGTATAAGAGGTTGTATGACTACTGTTCCACAGTATACAAGCACAATCCTGCTAGTTCTCTAATACTGAAGGTGAACAATGATTTTTCACCTCCAAAGTTCATGAGGATGTATGTTTGCTTAACTGCCTTGAGACAAGAATTTTTGACTGGTTGTAGGCTAATTATAGGGCTTGATGGATGTTTTTTGAAGACTCTCCATGGCGGTCAACTGCTTTCAGCAATTGGTAGGGATGGCAATGATAATATGCTACCAATTGCAATGGCATATGTTGAAGTTGAGAAGACATATTCTTGGAGGTGGTTTCTTGAAAGGCCACTGAGAGATGTAGATCCACACAGGGAGAAGAAATGGACATTTGTTTCAGATAGACAGAAGGGTTTGCTTGAAGCTGTGAGTGAAATTGAGGGGGCAGAACACAGATATTGTTTGAAGCATATGTACAACAATTTTAAGCAGAAGTGGGGGGATCTAGATTTAAGAAAATGGTTTTGGAAGGCAGCTAGCACTTATAATGTGAAGGAGCATCTGAGGTGCATGAACCAAATCCAAAGGCTTGTTCCTAAGAAGGATGGAAAGGTCACTCCATTTAAATGGCTGAAAGCTGTCCCTGAAGAACATTGGGCAAGGTGTTACTTCTCTCCTAATGCTGTTTATGATGTCATTGTCAATAATATCTCTGAGTCTTTCAACAATTATATTTTGGAAGCCAGGAACATGCTTATTATAGACATGTTTGAATGGATCAGAAGAAGGCTAATGGCAAGGATCCAAGTGAAGAGAGCAGGAATAGAAAAATACTCAGAGGATATTTGTCCAAACACAGTAAGGAAAATTGAAGAGCAAAGGGAGTTCAGCAGGAATTGTTGCCCTACTTGGGCTAGAGAAGACAAGTACGAGGTGGTTCATGGTGTAAACAGCCATATAGTGCAACTGAGAGCAAAGAGCTGTACATGTGGCATGTTCCAATTGGTTGGGTACCCCTGTTGCCATGCATTGGCATGCATCTCTTATCATAGGTTCCCTCTTGGTGATTATGTGTCTGATTTCTTCAAGAAGGACATGTATTTGAGGATGTACAACCATATGATCTTCCCAGTTCCAGGGATGAATGAATATGAAGAATCTGGAATGGGCCCAATTCAGCCTCCTGATGCTGTGAAAAAGAGGGGTAGGCCAACAAAGAAAAGAAGAGCTGATGCTAATGACATGAGGTCAATGGCAACAAATAGCAGTAGGAAGGGGCTTATCAAAAGATGCACTGTGTGTGGAGCAAATAATCATAATAAGAGGAGGTGCAACAAAAGAGTTGGTACAAATAATCCTGAGCAGGTAACTTTCAGTTTTCACTTTTTCATCTAAAAGTTTTCAGTTTTTTGTTATTCAATTTTTACTTTCAGTTTTTTAGTTCTTTTCTTTTTTCCTGTGTTTTTGCAGCAACAAACTGAGCCTTCATCACAGGGGAATTCTGTCAACTGCAATGGCCCTCAAACCTCCACTCAGCAGAGCATAGCTTAGGTTGCTTGACTGGCCCTCAAACCTCCATCTGAAGGTGTGTTCTTTTGGCTATGTTGGTGTTCTTTTAGGTATTTGGTATGTATTTGATGTTGGTGGTGATACTGAAACTTGTTAAGACATGGTGGTATTGTCTTTTATGTTGGGAATATTGACTATCTTTTGATTTTTGTTGGTGGTGACATGGTGATGTTATTTTTTATATTGGTGGTGATATGGTGTTAGGGGTTTTGTTTGGTTTTTGGTTGTGACTGAAGTGTTCTGGTGTTGGAGGTGTTTTTGAAGTTATTTTGGTTGTTATTGAGACATGGTGGTGGTGTTTGTTTATGTTGGGAATGTTGGAATATTGTTGATGATATTGGAATGTTGGAATATTGTTGGTTGAAACAAGGCTTTATTGTTTATTTTTTGCTCACATTGTGTTGCTTGTGACATGTTATAGTTTTTTGTTCATGAATGCAAGTGTTGAATAATG